GAGCTGATGAAATGAAATACAGATGGGTTACTCACGATACTGTAGTGAATAATGGTTATCAAGACGGACTGTGAGGGTTGGAAATGCAAAGGTAGACATTTTGTAGCAAGGAAGGGAGTGATTATTTCCCCAGTCTAGGAGCAGAGTTCTCTGGGACCACCAATGGAGAAGAGCAGAGAGCGGGACCCTACCCAGAGAAGCAGGGATGCCTGAGATGGAGACAGAGACGATAGCATGGAGGGATGAAGCGGCTGGGGACTTTGGATCCAGAAAGGGAGAGGGACTGTGGGCCAAAGACTGACTGGGGTGGGGGGGAGGGAAGGGGAAGTGTAGAGGACGGGTTTCTAGGATATGCCTTTGGTTGGAAGATGATGCATGGAGGGGATTGGAACCATGGCAATGAAATGATATACGATGGAATGAAAGTAAAACTAAAGTTCTCTCATGTAAACTATCATATAATTCACAATAAAACATTTAAAAAAATATAATAGTTGAACAACTCCAGGAAAGTAAACAGTGTAACTAATCGGTACATGTGGAAACTGTTGAATTGGTATGTTTTGCTGTGTATATCCTCAACAACAAAATTTAGGGGAAAAAAAACAACTCTTACTTTTCCTTTCTTTTATCTCTTTGTTGTTAAGCACTGTCGAGTCAGTTCTGACTCACAGCAACCCTGTATAGAGTTTCTGAGGAGCAGCTGTTGGGTTTGAACTGTTGACCTTGTGACTTGAAGTTCAGTGCTGCTCCTACAGCGCCACACCAGGAGTCCTCTTTATCTATTATCTCCTATAAATTCATTTTTTCAAGTGGAAATAAAATCTGTACACCTTAGTATACATCACATGGAACGAGAAAGCCACTGAAAGAATGTTTTCCTCACAATGACAGATGCAGCCTATCAACTCAAGTCTAAGTAGCACAGAGATGAAGCTAAAGATTTGCCAATTTTGGCATACCTAATTATTTCCATCTTGGTCTTCAATGTATTGTTGTTAAGTGTCCTCGTGTCAGTTCCGACCCATAACGACCCTGAACAGGGTTTCCGAGGCTGCAAATCTTTACGGGAGCAGAAAGATTCATCTTTCTCCCACGGAGCAGCTGGTAGTTTCAAACTGCTGACCTTGCAGTTCGCAGCCCGATTCATAACTACTACACTAATTTACTAAAAAAATGTTTTTTATTACTAGTCTCAGGGCTTTGATTTTTCTGTTTTCGATGCATAATCAAGTATTGAGAATAAAATTTTAACTGAAATAACTGCAGATACACTCCAAAAGGGAATAAAGAAAGAGGGTCATGCTGCTAAAATGAAACTACTAGTTGAGAGGCAATGCGTAGTACAGTGGAGAGCAGACACCAGGAAAAGCAGTATGATTATAACCAAGGAAATACTAGACTTAAATCCATACTCCACTTAACCTTAGGACAAGTCTCTCAATATCAAGTTTTGTAAAATGGGGCTAATAATGACTACCTATAACACTAGATTAAGGAGCTCTGGTAGCGTAGTGGTTACGAATCGGGCTGTGAATCGCAAGGTCAGCAGTTCGAAACTACCAGCTGCTCCGCGGGAGAAAGATAAGGCATTCTACTCCCGTAAAGATTTACAACAATCAACTCAAATGATTAGATAAGGATTTATCTAATGTCAATGTGGGAGGAACAATTCAGAAAAAGAAGACATTGTTAATCTTTATGGGAGTAGAATGCCTTATCTTTCTATAATAGATAAAGAGGACTCCTGGTGTGGCTTGGTTAAATTTAACTGGAGTATAGATTTAAGTTTAGTATTTCCTTGGTTATATTTACAGGGTCGCTATGGGTTGGAACCAACTTGACGGCACTTTAACAAGAACATGTATGATCAAATGATCAAATTGATAACAGCAATTCAAAAGTAATAGATATGTTCATGGTAGAAGAAAAATTTGAAAAAGGATAGCAAGAATGGTTACATACCCTAAAGAATGTAATCAACGCCACTGTACTGTACATGTAGAAATTACTGAATTGGTGCATGTTTTGTTGTGTCTATTTTCACCAAAAAATAAAAAATAAAAAAAGGATAGCATCTGACCCAGACTTTGAATTAAGTCAAGGTTAGATGATTAAACAAGAGGAAGTAGGAGATGGGACCAGAAAAGAAGGTCAGGATCATATAGCTCAAAGAACAGTAAAATGAGAAACCCAAAACCTAAATCTTGCTATTCCATTTGCTGTTAACTATGGGCATAAAGCTAAACTTGAATAAGCATTCTATTAAATAATATGAAAGGTAACTTACTCAATATCTTTTCGTACTGATCCCATGAGGTTCTCCCTCTCCCGTATTGCCATAAAGTTTGCTTTGGTTTTATGGAATTCATGTGTATAATCCTGCAATAAATCAATAGTCAGTATCAAGATAAAGTCATTACACATTTTCATCTTGAGACAGTTATTTACTGTCATCACACTGCAATTTTTGTTAAAAACCAACCATAACAACAACAAAAAACTTGCTATTTAAGATATCAAATTGCCAAAAGGCAAAATAACTTTAATAACTACTTTTCCTGAGGAGTGAAAAACTTCTTTCAAATGAAACCAATTTGGTTTTAAGGCAATGGTACCACTAAACAGATATCTTCTGTTTAGTGGTACCTTGTCTTATGAGGCAAAATTATAAAGAAAAAAACTTTTAAGGAATCTTCAAAGAGGCTAGAATAAAATGTAAATCAGCTCTTTCTATTCATTAATGTATCCAAATCCAACAGAACTCATTTAAAAATTTGATCCTTTTGGAGCTTCTATAGTAATTTTGGAGTCCTGGTGTGAGGCTGCAGGATAATGCACTGGACTGCAGGGTTAGTTTGAACTGCAAGGTCGGTGGTTCAAACCCACCAGCTGCTTCTCGGAAACTCTATACAGGGTTGCTATGAGATGGAACCAACTCAATGGTACTTAACAGCAACACAGTAGTTGTATTCTTAAACGAATTCAAGGAAGCACAGATTCAAGAAAACTGTAAAGAATATCCTTAAACATTTTTCTTCATTTTTATACTACCACAGACTTCTGGTGTGACTGCAAACTACAAGATCAGTGGTTCAAACCCATCAGTTGCTTTTTTTTTTTTAAGGTTTTTATTGTAGATTGAGTGAAAGTTTACAGGGCACATCATCAATTTCACATTCAACCATTCATATGACTTGTTTCATTACATTGATTATTATCCCCTCCATACATCATCAGTTAACAGTGTTTCTCTCTATCCTCTTTAGCTATTTTTTCTTTTTTGTGGGGGGAACTTTGCCTTTTTGGAATTTATAGTCTCGGCTTTTAGGGAAGGTTTTTACATTTATCTGTGGATATCCAGGGCTCATGTATGCGATTACTAACAAGCATAACTGAATAATCAGATGAGGGACAGTTTGCTATGTCTGCTAGGTGGCTAAAGTCTCCATCAGTTGCTTCTTAGAAACCTTATACAGGGTCTCTATGAGTCGAAACGGACTCAATGGCACTTAATAACAACATGTTTAAAAGATACAAGGAATATTTATTCTTTTTAATTCAGAGTACAGAAAGAAGACAAAAATCAGACCCCATCTCCCAGAAAACCCGTTGACCTTTTTAAAATCAAAATTAACACATAGACATGGTAAAAATCTTTTTAAAAAGCACAAACACCCCTAGAAAAAAGGAAAAACCATTCTACTCCACAGCTCATAACTATTGTTATTACTATTTCGTTTCAAGAAACATATTTGCGCATATACAAGCTTATCTATTATTACTTTTATTTATGCTAAAGCAATCATACTGTTGAAAACCTTGCTTTCTGTAGTTCATAAAATGTCAAGGAATCCTTCCTTATTGGCAAATAGAAATCTACATTCTTTTTAATGCTCACTAGTTCTTTTCCAAGGAGCTCTGGTAGCGTAGTGGTTATGAATTGGGCTGCAAACCGCAAGGTCAGCAGTTCGAAACTGCCAGCTGTTTCGCGGGACAATGATGAGGCTTTCTGCTCCTGTAAAGATTTACAGCCTCGGTCGGAAACCCTGTACAGGGTCGCTATGAGTCGGAACCGACTCTATGGCATATAACCACTACCACCAGTTCTTTTCCAGTCAATTCAGACTCATGGTCACCCTGGTGTTACAAAGTAGTACTGCTCCAAGAGATTTTATTGGTTTAACAGAAACCGTTTGGACAATCTTCCCCAGTACTGCTGGGTGGAGTTCTCAGCACAGCTGGGTAAAGGTTCAAATCACCAACCTTTAGGTTAGCTACACAGAAGTCTACCTTTTGATGTTATCATAATTTAGGTTTTTGTGTTTTTTTTGCTGTTTACAAAAAGATGCAATAAACATTCTTGGTTATATATTTCAGAAACCATTTTTTAAAAAGTGTATTTGAAGAGTAGTAAATGCCTACTAGCGTGAAAACTGGATCAAAGAATCATACATATAAAGTTTTGAGTGCCAAACTGCCTTCTAGAAAGACCACACTAATTTATGTTCTACCAACAGTATATTGTTGTTATTGTTGTGTGTTGCCAAGTCAGTTCTGACTCACAGCGATCCTGTATAGGGCTGGAAGGAACTCCAGTAGCATAGTGGTTACAAGTCGGGCTGCTAACCTCAAGGTCAACAGTTTGAAACTACCAGTTGTTCCGTGGGAGAAAGATGAGGCTTTCTGCTTCCATAAAGATTTACAGCCTCAGATTTACATACAGGGTCACTATGAGTCGGAACTGACCCCATGGCACACTACCACCACCACCATAGGGTTTCTGAGGAGCAGCTGGTGAGTTTGAACCACCAACCTTGTGGTTAGCAGTCCAGTGCTTATCTTACAGCACCATACAGAGTATTGTTATTGTTGTTGTTGTTGTTAAGTGCTGTCGAGTCGGTTCCGACTCATAGCGACCCTGAACAGGGTTTCTGAGGCTGTAAATCTTTACAGGAGCAGAAAGCCTCATCTTTCTCCCATAGAGCAGCTGGTATTTTCGAACTGCTGACCTTGCGGTTCACAGCCCGATTCGTAACCACTACGCTACCAGAGCTGTTGTTGTTAATTAAGTGCCTTCAAGTCGGTTCCAACACACAGCAACCCTGTATAGGGTTTCCAAGGAGCAGCTGGTGAGTTTGAACTGCTGACCTTGAAGTTCAAACGGCTTTGCAGTGTGGCACATTAACTTATACCACCACACCAGGAGTATTGGAGACCACTTAGCTACATGCCTGTCAATAATGAGCAACAAATGTTAAATTTTTGCTAATCTGACTGCTGAAAATAATCATCTTATTTTGATCATATGTTTTTAATTGAGAACATGGTTAAGTATCTTTTTGCAGGTTTTGGCCACTGCTGAAAATAATCACCTCATTTTGATCATATGTTTTTAATTGAGAACATGGTTAAGTATCTTTTTGTAGGTTTTGGCCACTCATATTTTTTCTATAAACAATACGTTCATAGCCTTTGTCCAATTTTCTATTAAGGTTGTCTTTTTCTTATTTATTTCTATAATTTCTCTGTATGTTAAGCAAATTAATCACTTGTTACAGTTTCCAGTATTGAGAACTGCTTAGAAAGTCATTTCTCATTCAAAAGGTATAGATTTATCATACTTTATTCTGAACTTTTCTTTCTCTAAAAATAGTTGATCCGTTGGAATTTATAACAGATATGAGAATTGAGATAGAGGCTGATGTTTATATTTTCCAATTAGTCAACTGTTCCAACACAATTTTATAATCCCTGTTTTAAACATTGATTTAGAATGTCACCTGTCATGGACTGAATTGCGTGTCCCCAAAATATGTGTCAGCTTGGCTGGGCCATGATTCTCAGTCATTTGGCAGTTAGGTGAAAATGCAACCATTTCCCTAATATGATCAGTCAATCAACTGTAGGAATCAGGGTGGGATGCAACACCCTTATACAGGTCACAGCTCTGATCCAACATTTTTGCTGTTGTTGTCGCTGCTGATATTAAGAGCTGTTGAGCTGGTTCCGACTCATAGTGACTCTATATAGGGTTTCGGAGGAGTGGCTGGTGAGTATGAACTGCCAACCTTGTGGTTAGCAGTCTAGAGCTGATCCTACAGGGCCAAACAGGACCCACATAACACAAGGGGCATTTTTCCCTAGGGTGTGGCCTGTATCATCTTTTAGCTTACATGAGATAAGAGGAAAGAAAAGCAGAGTAGGGACCGGACTACCACCCAAAAAGTAGAGTAGGCAGTGAAGTGAGTCCAAACTGTTCCTATGCTGAAAACTAACTAGACCCAGGTTAGGATACATGAAGAATCTCCAAGGGACACATGGCTAACAGATACTGAAAGTAGACAAGGACTCTCCCCCAGAGCTGGCAGAGAGAAAGTCTTCCCCGAGAGCTAGCACCAAAAATTTGGACTTCTAGCTTCCTAAACTGTGAGAGAATAAATTTGTTTGTTAAAGCCACTGATTTATGATCTAGCAAGAAATCCTACAGAGAGTCATTATGAGTCAGAACCAACTCAACAGCACTAAACAGCAACAACAAATAACTAAGACACAACCTCTACCGCAAACTAAATTCTTATGCATATTTGGGCCTATATCTGAACTCTATTCTGTCCTATTGGTCCATCTTTCTCCCCAGAATCAAACTGTCTTAATTATCCCTAGTTTCTTAACAGGTTTAAATATATGGCAGAACTCTAGGCACCTTTCACTAGTCTTCATTTCCAGAATTTTCCTCTAGTTATTCTCACATGTAAATGGTTCCAAATAAATTTTGATGTCATTTTGCTCAATTAACAACAAAAAGACAAAGCAGAAGCAGTAACAAAACTTTTACTCCCACTGGAATGGCGTCTGGTTTTGATTACTTTTGTGAGAAATCTTCCCATCTAAAAGCAGATTAATTCTTCTCTTAAAATCTTGTTTCATGCCCCTCAGTAGAGTTCTACACATACAATTCCTACAACATTATTAAATTAAGTATAATTTAGTTTCTTACATTATATTTTCTATGGTTTGTATGTTGGCAAACTCTTTGCTTTGATATTAATTTAGCAACCCACCATCTGAATGAATTCAATTCTACTACTTTTTCAGTTAATTTGCTTGAGTATATTAGATATCTTATTATTGCAAATTATACTAATTTTGTGTCTTTCTTTCCTATATTTATTATTGCTTGCTTCTTTTTATTGCATAACTACACCACCAAGAACTTCTAGAACACTGATAGATACTGTGTTGCATGTGGGTATCTTCGCCTTGGTTTTTTTTCAACTGAGAATGCTTTTGGTGCTTTACCAAATGTGATGTGATGCTAGCTTTTAATCCAATAGATACATCCACTGGTTACCTGACATTTTGTATTTAAAATAGTAAAAAATCTACCATCCAACTATTTTGCACATTTACAATGGACATCGGGGAGTAATAAAAACCAAAGGTGCAAGGCAAAGGTAGCAGTGGCTGTGAGGGTTAAGGTTATGTGTCTACTTGGCTGGACCATGATTCTCAGTGGTTTAGCAGCTACGTAATGATGCAATTGGACAGTTATGCAGTGATGTAGTCACCCTCCATTTTCACAAAACCACCTGGTCTTTGGAACCTAATCATGTCCAAAGGTGAGGAGTGAATGTACATTTCTGCATTAGTTTTAACAAGAGTTTAGGAATAATTGCTGCATTTTTTCAATATTAAAAATATTGGCCTATTTGCATTATTACATTTTTAACACCTCCCAAATATAAATCTTTAAGAGTGACTTAGGCATATTTAGTATGCTATTAAACAATATACTAAATACAGTAAATGATTCCCATATCCATGATTTCTTAAAAGCCCGATGAAAGTATACTCTGATCATGTGCCTGATCACTGCTAGGCTAGCGTAGCCAGGTCTCCAACAATAGGCACACCTCCCTTTATTGTGCTTCACTTCATTACACTTGCCAGAGACTGTGCCATCACAGATTGAAGGTCTGTGACAACCTGTACTGAGCAAGTCTAGTGATGTCACTTTTCCAACAGCAGGTGCTCACTCTGTCTCTGTGTCATATTCTGGTCATTTTTACAAGATTTCAGACGGTTTCATAGAGCTATTGCACACTCAGTAGACTACAATAAAGTATAAACATAACTTTTACATGCATGAAGAAATAAAAAATACTGGTGTGACTCACTTTATTATGATATCTACCACCAGCCGCTCCTCAGAAAGCCTACACAGGGTCGCTGTGGGTCAGAACCAATTTGACGGCATTTAACAACAACTTTATTGTAGTGGTCTAGAACCAGCAATATTTCTGAGGTATGCCAGTCTAGTGATGAATATTACTCAATTTCATCTGACAAAAGAGCTATTAGACATAGTCAGAATTTTATAATACCAAGAAGCAAAATGTAACACAAAACAAGTTTGTAGCATCACTTTTACCATAGTTCCCTTTCAAGGATTTTTTGAAAAACTCCTGATAGACATTGGAAATAGGCCTCTGGGAGTGTGAGAGGAGGAAGGTTGCCCAGAAGTGAAACAGTGGGAGACAAGAACATTACCCAGGTATAAGGAGTGAGGAGGGAGAGAGGTCAGCAAGATGTCACGTATGGGAAGTGAGGAGGTGGGCAGGGTCACAAGGAAGCACAGGAGTTGGGAGAAAAGAGGTGGAAACGCCAGGAGGATGCCCCAAGTGTGGGGAGTAAAGAGGTGGGAATAGTCAGAAAGAGGTGTGGTGGGTTAGACAGTGGGATGTGTCAAAGAAAAAAAAAAAAGTAAAATATTCTGGCTTGCTTATCCCTGATTTTCTTTCTTCACAGATACAAGGTTTATACATTTGCTAGGTAACTTTTTATAGTCCTGATGTGGCGCTGTGGGCTAATGCATTAAACTGCAAAGCTGTTTGAACTACAAGGTCAGTGGTTCAAGCTCACCAGCTGCTCCTTGGAAACCCTATACAGGGGTTGCTATGGGTCAGAATTGAGTCGACGGTACTTAACAACAACAAGAACAAAGTATCTTTTGTCCCAATTGTAAGGGTAGGAATAATTAGAGCTATATTATAGACAAACACTAAATAACTAAACAAACCAAACCTCCTGTGATAATGTAAAAATCTCAAGCCCAATATATTACCTGTAATATGTCTCTATGTCGCTGTAATGTATGCATCAGTGCAGCATTCAAGGAGGGGACGCCTGCACTGTTGGTATATTCTGCCATTTTATCATTTACTCCTGTAAGCTAAAAAAAAAAAAAGGAAAGAAAAACAATTAAAATACTTCAGAAATTTCTAATAAATAGCTAAAAGCAAACTACTTGCCTACATTTCTTTTCTGCTGCTAGCAAAAAAAGATCCCAAGAAGATAAAAGATTAGGCAAAGATTCAGCATTTCCCCCAAATAATCCATAAAAGCTAAAAACAGTACTCTTAGAATCTGAGAATGGCTGTTATCAAAAATCAAGCGGCTATGGATGAAGTTGCCCAAAATTCCAACCAAAAAGAAAGGATTCTTCTTATCAAGGATCAAGCTTGCCTCCACAGTGCACTGGGTTGATAGGGATGGGCAACTTAGGCTTCAGCTATCAAAACTGGGGAGGGCAAAAATGGCACAAGGTGGCTGTACAAGCTTTCATGAGGGTACTCAGTGTCAGAACAACGGGGGTAAGATAGAATCCCTACTGAATAGCTTTCCTTTTGTCCAGATGGGTATGGTAATGATGCGGATGGGATTTTATGATTCAATTGCAAGTAACTGTTATCATGACTAATGGCGATTATCACAACTGTAAATGTAGCAAACGTATAAATAAAAGGGGGGAGCAGTTAATCTGACATTTCAGGAACAGGGGACCCTAGGACCATTAAAAGGGAAGAACATGACAGGTGCAAGGGATCCTAACCAGAAAAGCAGTAACAACAGAGATGGTGTCAGAGACAATGGCATAGAGATAGAACAGCAGAGGACAACAGGCCCATGGACTGAGAAAGGCAGTATGCCTGTGGGCAGGAGCCTGGCTCACAAAATGTGTCCTTTGGACATTTAAACCAATATACATGCTCCTTGAAAACCCTATACAGGGTTGCTATAAGTTGAAATTAACAACAACAACAAATATTGTCAATGTGTACATTAAAAAAAAAGGTAATACAGGTAAATACTGTTAGCTGATGGTGCATGGAGGGGACTGTAATCATTGCAATGAATTGTTGAATGTAAACCTGATGATCTGCCTTCACTCAATTCACAGTAAAAGCTTTTTAAAAAAATCAAGTGGCCTGGAATCCATATATATATCTTAAATGAATGGGTAGTTTTCATAAACATGTCTATATTACTATAATCCAATACATACCCAACAGTAAGTAGTTTTTTATGAAAAATAAACGATATGGATGACACCATAACAGAACCAACAGAAATAAAAAATAACAGAATACGATCAAGAATTGTACTCCATCCAATCTGTCTGGGCAGGGCTGATGAAAGGAGATGGAGATAGGTCTCTTGTGATACAAAAGTGAGTAATTGTTATCAGTACTGACTGTGAGGGTTGGAAAGGTAAAGGTAGACGTTTTGTAGCAAAAGGAGGGGAGTGGTTGACTTTGCAGTCTAGGAGCAGAGGTCCCTGGGACCATCAAGGGAGAAGAGCGGAGAGTGGGACCCTATCCAGAGAAACAGTGACGCCAGAGATAAAAGCAGAGACGATGACGTGAAGAGATGGAGCAGCTGGGGAATCTAGACCCAGAGAGGGAGAGATGTTGTGTGCTAACGACCAAGGGGCAGGCTTGCGGGGTATATCCTTTGGTTGGTTGATGATGCATGGAGGGGGCTGTAATCATGACAATGAAACGATACACGATAGGATGAATGTAAAGTTAATGTTCTCCCATGTACACTATCACATAATTCGCAATAAAACGTTAAAAGAAAAGGCAAGATCAGGCCTGTAGGGTGGATAGGATTAGGTTTCTCAAGAAAATTCACGTAGGACAGTCCTTGATAACTTTGAAGAAAAGGCATTGTTGTGATGGAAAGAAATTCCTTGGTACAGCTTTCATAACATTTTTCTCACAGACGCAGTTTTCTATTTTCTTAAATTTCTTCCTAATAAACACTATAAATGATTATAGTGTCAATTGAGAAAATCTACCAAGATTACCCCCTTGGGAATCCAAGAAAACAGGTACCGTCACCTACTGAGCTGACCTCTGGGCCTTGAATTGAACGGGCCCAGCAGATCCTCTCGGAGGCCACTGTTTTGATTGGACCTCTTTTTTTCGAAGGCACCCTAATGAGACTAAGACAAGTATTTATTAGTGAGAGAACTTGTCTACAGACATCCACTGATCACAGAGACAGGTTTAAACACATTTTGTTTGGAATAACCCCGTGCATGTATGAACTGGAACCATGGCAGCAACACTTTTTGGCTTATCCCTGTATTTGATAATGTTTTGAATAAAAGAAACTGGTAGGAGAATTGTACTCCTCAGCAACAGAGCAAGGAAAACAAACGAGGAAGGAACAGACAGATCACACAGCGAGGTGCAATTTCATTTCAATGGTGTTAGTAATGTGAATTATATTGGTTTTATTATTTTGTGTGTATGAAATTATATATTTGGAAAAAAAAAGAATTGTACTTCAACAAATTTGTAAATCCAGAAGAAATGGACAAATTTCTAGAAATACATGACCTACCTAAACTAACACAGAGTTAAGTAGAAAACTTGAATAGGCATTTAACAAGTGAAGAAATTGATCAAGTCACTAAAAAACGCCCAACTAAAAAAGTCCAGGCACAGATGGTCTTACTGGTGAATTAAAAAAACATTCAGAAGAACTGACACCAATTTTACTCAAACTATTCTATAATATAGAAAAGGTGGAAAACTCTCAAATTCATTTTATGAAGCAAGCATAACTCTGATATCAAAGCCAAGCAAAGACATCATCACTAAGGAAGAAAATTATAGACCAATATCCCTCATGAACATATGTGTAAAAATTTTCAACAAACTCCTAGACAACAGAAATAAACAATATATCTAAAATATAATACATGACCAAGTAGGAGTCATATCAGGTTCAATATTATAAAAACAATAATCTAACATATAAATAAAAACAAAGGAAAAAAATGACATGATCATATCAACTGATGCAGAAAGAGAATCTTAGGAAAAAAAAAAAAAGTAGCTATTAGCAAAATAGCCATTTAACAGAAAGCACTTACCCTTGCCAAAAGCTGTTCAATCTCAATTGCCATTGTTTCAAACATTCTATCTTGACTGGATCCATTTAAAAGGGGTGTTGTGTCAGAACTAAAGAGAAGTTCAATTAAAGGGAATCCGTTAATCCTACTCCTTTAAAGCATAGTCAAAATAGTTATTATTGAAGAGCTCAAGTGAAACATTCATTTTCTTAGTAATTTTTCATTTTTATAGAAGTTTTCCTATAAATCACATATGTCCTATAATATTAAACTCAGTATAAAAAAGAATTGAATGTGGATATTTCCAAAGCTGTAGTAATACATAGAATCTTAGTAACTTAAAAGAAATTTGAAATGTTTACTGTTTTCCAAATGACAGAAAGTAACTTGTTAAAATACCCAATTAAATGTTGAATTCAAAAGAATAAATTATATGAACTAAAACTGTAGAACTATGAAGTACGATGTATAAAATGTACTCAGCTATAGAGTATTTGAAGAATGATGGTTTTTAAAAAAATTTTTTTACTCCTAAGCAATTATGGTTTCTTAGACCTCAAATTAAATTCTCACTTCTTTCTTTGACTCTAACCTAAAAGAAATAAAACTGAGGTTTAAATGATCTACAGTTTAGACCAATAACACCCATATAAATGGAGAAAATATCGAAGTTGTCAAAGACTTCATTTTGCTCAGATCAGCCATCAACACTCATGGAAGCAGCAGTCAAGAAATCAAATGACGGGCAGATCTGCTGCACAAGACCTCTTTAAAGTTTTCAAGAGTAAAGATGTCAGTTTGAGGGCTAAGGTATATCTGACCCAAGCCATGGTATTTTCATATGCATGCAAAAGTAAATAAGGAAGACTAGAAGAATTGATGCATTTGAATTATGGTGTTGGAAGAGAATATTGAAAGTATCATGGACTGCCAAAGAACAAATACATTTGTGTTGGAAGAAGTACAGCCAGAGTGCTCCTTGGAGGTCAGGATGGCCAGACTTCGTCTCTCATACTTTGGACATATTGTCAGAAGGGACCTGTCACTGAAGAAAGATATCATGTTTGGTAAAGTGAAGGGTCAGAGTAAAAGAGGAAAACCCCCAGTGAGATGGATTAGCACAGCAGCAGCATCTATGGGCTCAAACATAGCAATAATTGTGAGGTTGGCCCAGAACCGAGAAGTGTTTCGTTCTGTTGTACATAGGGTCACTATGACTCGGTACTGACTCATTGGCCCCTAAAAACAACCAACAGTTTACACTAGTACATCCTATACAAGGCGCTCCTTGTACATCCTATACAAGGGTCACTATGAATCAGAATCGACTAGACAGCACTTAACAATAACAACAACATAATTTGGATACGTTGTTACTGAATAATCGGGACTGACTTTAAGTCTACTATAAATACCCATACCCAGCAGGAAAGTTTTCATGCCAGCCTTCTACATTTCCATTCATACTATGCTATCTTCTCAGATGTTGTGCAAAATTGTGGTGAGCTAGCTTTTAAAATTCGAACAGTTATAAATCTAATTTTTACAAGTAAAATTTATTTTGACAGATTCAAATCCTAAAACTCTATGTCTGAAGGTTTCTTTTGCCCCACTTTGAAAAATCACTAACCTTCACCAAACCTGCATCAGTCCCCAGGTGGTGAACCTAGTATCTATGATGACATGCGCAGCTCTAGTAGGGTGTTTCAAAAAAAACTTGGAAAAACGGAACACAATGGAATTTTTCCACCTACTTTTTGAAGCCCTCATAATATCAAATAAGCAACTCCATCAGATCTGTGTTATACTGGACACAGCTAAATGCACAGGCAACAACTACATTCTCCAATCTTACTGAAGACTTTGTACTGCCCTCTGATAATCCTTGGGTGTGGCAGATGAAAACAAACCAAATCGTCGTTCAACATCAAAATGTACTTTAGCTTCTACATTTCTTTTCCACGTAATTTCCACAGTAATAGTAAAAAAGCAGTGTTAATAATCAAAAAAAGATAATAAGGATTTTTATTTTTAGTTCAAACTAGGTCTAAATTTTTCTATCTTTTGAAATATTTCAATTGATTTCCTGTAGAACATGATACATAAATATTTTGTTGTTGTTAGGTGCCATGGACTTAGTTCCATCTCAGAGCAACCCTATGGACAGCATAAACACTGCCCAGTCTGTGCTGCCCTCACAATTGTTACATTTCAGTACACTGCGGCTGTCACTGTGTCTATCCAGCTCCCTGGGGGAAAGGGCTTCCTCTTTTCACTGACCTTCCACTTTACTAAGCATAATGTCCTTCTTCAGGGACTGGTCTCTCCTGATAACTTGTCCAAAGTATGAGAGATGAAGTCTTGCCATCTTGGACTCTAAGGAACATTAACAGCTATACTTCTTCCAGACAGGTTTGTTTGTCTATTCTGGCAGTCCATGGTACTTTCCATATTCTTCTCTAACACCATAATTCAAAGTATCAGTTCTTCAGTGTCCAACTTTCACATGCACATGAGGCAACTGAAAATACTATAGCTTGAGTCAGACACACCTTAGTCCTCAAAGGCTTATCTTTGCACTTCAGCACTTTAAAGGTCTTTTGTAGCAGATTTGCCTAATGAAATCATCATTTGATTTCTTAACTGCTGCTTTCTTAATTGTTGATTGTGGATCCAAGCAAACTGAAGTCTTTCACAACTTCATGATGTTACAGTGAAATCCAGTTGTGAGGATTTTTGTTTTCTTTACATTGAGGTGCAATCCATACTGTAGTCTTTGATCTTCAACAGTAAGCATTTTAAGTCCTCTTTGCTTCCAGCAAGTGAAGTCTGCATACTGTAGGTTGTTAATGAGGTTTCCTCCAATCTGTTATTCATATAATCCAGCTTCTTGGATTATTTGCTCAGCATACAGATTGAATAAATATGTGAAAGGATATAATCCTTACACACACATCTCCTGATTTAAAATCATTTAGTATCCTTTTGTTCTTTTCAACTGTAGTTTGGTCTATGTACAGATTCCTCATGAGCACAATTTAGTGTTCTAGAATATCCATTCTTCACAACGTTATCCATAGCTTGTCATAGTCCACACAGTTGAATACTTCTGCACAGTCAATAAAGCACCAGTAAACATCTTTCTGGTATCCTCAGTTTTCAGCCGAGATCCATCTGACACCAACAATGATATCCCTAGTTCCACATTCTTTTCTGAACCCAGCTTGAATTTCTGGCAGTTCCCTTTTTTAAATTATCATTAGCAAAATTTTACTTGAATGTGATATTAATGACAAAATTCAATTATTTCTGCATTCCATGTGTCACCTCTCTTTGTAATAGGCACAAATATAGATCTCTTCCAATAAACTGGCCAGGTCGCTGTCTTCCAAATTTCTTGGCAAAGAAATTAAGTAAGTGGCAAAGAAAGTAAGTGCCTCCAGTGCTGCATCAGTTTGTTGAAAGATTTCAATTTATATTTTTCGAATTCCTGGAGCTGTTTTTTGCCAGTGCTTTCTGCGCAGCCTGGACTGATTCCTTAAGTAGCGTTGATTCTTGATCATATGCTTGAGACTTCCACGGATGCCAGTCCCTCGGAGGCTGAGTGCTACCTTTAGGTTCTACTACTGGGGAGAGCTGGTTCCCATCAACACACTTTTCCAAGATTCATTTCTTAATGCTGCCACTTGAAATGGTTGAACACTGACCATTTCTTCTGATAAAGTGACTGTGTATTCCTTCCATCTTCTTCTTCTTTTTTTTTTT